CTCCATGGGCTGGGAGGGCTTTTCCAGCCTCAGGGATCCTGGGATTCTGTGATCTATGTGTGTCCCTTCCAACTCAAGAGATTCCATGATTCTATGGAAAAATCCACATGCCCCACACTGCCGACCCCTGCAGCAGCCACCTACAATCCCTGCACAGCATCACTACCTTACTTTGAGTGCAATCCAGCTGTCTTTTAGCAAAAATAGAGCCAAAAACACCTCTGAAAGACCCTTCTTGGCTTTGGTTGCCCGTGTTGGAGGACAAAGGGAATTCTGAGCTGCAGTCCCTGGCAGCATTCCTGGTTTAGGATGAATTTCTACCATGAGGAAGCAATAAAGAAGAGATTGTACTAACTTTTAAAAAATCTATCTATGCCAGAGCTTCTCTAATGATGGAGATATACACATCACAGCTGAAGTTTTCACAGAGCTCTGAGAAACAGAGATAGCTTTAAAGTTTACTTCCACATCCCCACTTGCCCCATTCCCAGCCCAGCCTAGGTCCAGAATTTTGACTGGTCTTAGTATTTAGCTAATTTAAATGCTAATTAGACTAATTTGATGAATAAAACATGGTAGGGATTTGTTAGCAAGCTTCTGCCGTTGCTTTACATCAACAGAGAGATTCTCTAGAACAGGACTCCAAGGGAAATTGCAGAGAAGAAAGAGGACCGATTTGAAAATTTTTCAGAACTAGCACATCTGGGACAGTGACCACCAAGAAGAAGGTTAGGTTGTCCTGAGCCCATTTGCTTCACAGGCTTCTCTCTTTTATACATAAAGACAGGGTACCTTGTCTCTGCTTCCGTTTCCCCACTGCAGTCGATCCAGCAGAGAGGAATGAAACCGTTCCCCTCGGGTCTGACTGCGTATTGACTTTTTTGTTTTTACTGAGCTCCACAGAGGCAAAGCAGACGCACAAATAGGTCAGACAGCTCTTGGCTCCCCTCAGGGCTCCCGCCTCCGCCCCGCCTTGGGGGTACGAGCGTCTCGGGCTGGGGCGGACGGAGCCGAGAGAGGCCGGGCGGAGCGGTGAGGGGTCGGGGGAAGCCGTGAGGGGTCGGGGGAAGCTGTGATGCAGCCGGTGCTGCCGTGATGCAGCCGGTGCTGCCGTGAGCAGCTGTATTGAGGCCAGCGAAGCCGTGATCGGGCGGGCGGAGCCGTGAGGGGGCGGGCGGAGCCGGGCTGGGGCGGTCCTTGGGCCGGCCGGAGCCGTGAAGATGCGGCCCCGCTCCGCCTCTTCCTGCGGCAGCCGCGCAGCTGCAGCCATGGCGCCTCGCTGGGAAGCCGCTCTGGTGCTGCTGCTCCTTCTCGTCCTGCCGCCGGCCAGCGCGGGGCTGAGCGGCTACTTCGGCACCAAGTCCCGCTACGAGGAGGTGAACCCGCACCTGGTGAGCGACCCGCTGTCGCTGGGTCCCGGGGCGGGCGGGTCGCTGCCCTCCTCCTGCACTCCGCTGCAGCTCCGCGCCGTGCTCCGGCACGGCACCCGCTACCCCACGGCCGGGCAGGTCCGCCGGCTGGGCGAGCTGCACTCCCGGCTGCTCCGCCGGGCCGCGGGAGCCGCCGCCTGCCCCGCCGCCGCCGCGCTGGCCGACTGGCCCATGTGGTACGAGGAGAGCCTGGACGGGCGGCTGGCGCCGCAGGGCCGGCGCGACATGGAGCAGCTGGCCCGGCGCATGGCCGCCCGCTTCCCCGCGCTCTTCGCCGCCCGCCGCCGCCTGGCGCTGGCCAGCAGCTCCAAGCACCGCTGCCTGCAGAGCGGGGCCGCTTTCCGCCGCGGGCTCGGGCCCTCCCTCGACTTCGGCGGCGACGGTGAGTGCGCGACACCCACCCCCTTCCCTGGGGAGCCCTGGGCTTTTCCTGAAGGGCTGAGGGCTTCCCGGCTCTCCCGAGGGGATGGGGGACTCCTGTGCCCTCCCTGAGGGCAGGGAGTGCCCCCCATCCCTGAGGGGGTGAGGGAGACCCATGCCATGACTGCATGGCTCCTGTGCCCTTCCTGAGGGACCGGGACAGCCCCTGGCCTTTGCTGAGGGATTCCTGGCTCTTCCAAAGGGGATGGGGTGCCTCACACCGTCCCTGAGGGACCTCTGTGCTTTCCCTGAGAGCTGGGGAAACCTCGATCCAATCCTGAGGGAGCACCATGACCTCCCTGAGGGGCTAGGGGACTCCTGATGTCTTCCTGGGTGGCTGGAAGAATCCCTCCCTGAGGGAGCCCCTTATGCTCCCAGAGAGATTGGGGATGTTCTCTGCCCTTGCTGTGGCTGAGGGAAACCACAAGACCTGTCCCATATCCCCCATGCCCAGACTGAGGGGGACCCTGCGTCCCCTCCATGGGGACACGGCTGTAGTGGGTGGATTGTTCCTTGGAGGGTGTCATGGTACCCTTGGGGATGGTGGTGCTCCCCCTGATGCCCACGTTTGCTTTCAGAGGTGGAAGTTGAGGTTAACGACTCCCTGATGCGGTTCTTTGATCACTGTGCCAAGTTTGTAGCCCTGGTGGAGGACAATGACGCGGCCATGTGCCAGGTGAACGCCTTCAAAGAGGGGCCTGAGATGAAGAAGGTCCTGGAGAAGGTGGCCAGTGCTTTGTGTTTGCCAGTGGAGGACCTAAATGCAGGTATGGAATTCCTGTTTAGAGGTGGCTTCGGCTCCAGGGCTGTCCAGGAATGACTTCCAAGATGTGTCGTTATGCAGAGTAGGTAATTTAAATTGGCTATGACTTGGAGATGTAGTCTCTAATTATTAAAGTCCATGAGACTGTAAGTCTCTGTTGGCGTTGCAGTAATACGTGATTGTTGGCTAGTGGTCAGAAGAAAAAGGTGTTTGAAAACATCTTTCCTGTAGATGAAATCAGCTTTACTTGTTTTTGGAGGGATTTCAGTGTTTTTCTTTTAGTTTTTGCTTTCTGGAGCAGGTGTAGCTTTTGTGAAACCCCTTGCAACTCAAGCATATAAATGACCTGAGAAAAAGCAGCCGAGTGTCTGTGTGGTAGCTCACCTGTCCAGAACAGGAGTGCTGGGTTTCCCTGTGCCATCAAGTGGTGGGAAAAAAACCCCAATAAAAGTGTTGCTGTTGGGATTGCAGCATTAGGGACGTGCTGGAAACAAAGTTCAGCCTGGTGCTGCTTGTACTCAGCTGCTGACGTGGAGGGGAAGTTGTCCAAGACCTCACACCTTCCCCGTGTTGGCTCTTCTGACCCATGTGGCTGCACCAGCAGCTGACACCTATTACACGTCAGCTGATAGGCAGCATTTAATGTGAAATCCTCTTGTTTTCCCCTTGTAATGATGTAATGTGCAGAGCTTGCAGTCCAAAATTTGGATTTTACACCGTAGTTCTGTTGAACTGTGTATTCTTGGTGCTTGGTCTTTGTCCTGCCAAGTATTTATTGGATTTCATTGTTTGTGTTGCTGAACAGCAACTGCAATTATTTTTTAGAGGTAAACTGAAACTTGTAGCTGTGGTTTATCTCGTGCTTATTTGTTGGATTTATTGCAGATCTTGTTCAAGTGGCTTTTCTCACCTGCTCGTACGAGCTGGCCATAAAAAATGTGACCTCCCCGTGGTGTTCACTCTTCAGCGAAGAAGATGCCAAGGTACGTGGAGCAGCCTGCTCTGGTGGAAAGTGTCCCTGCCTGTGGCAAGGGGTTTGGAATGAGGCGTCTTAACTGGCCTTCCATCCCAAACCATTCTGTAATGTGTGCTTTTCACATGATAGAATCACGTAATAAAATTGACTCCAGGGTACATCAGGTGAGGTTTTCCAGGGCCTCTAAGGCTCTCTGTTTGGTTTTGGGGGCTATTAGCTCTCTAAGCCAAATAAATGCCAGTTGACAAAATCAAGCAGAACCCAGATAAAGGAGGCAAATGTTTGTTCCTCTTTTTCAAAACTGTTTGATGTAACTTCTGATGTTCAGTAAGGCTCCCCCAAGGCTCTTAAGGAAACTTGCACCCCTGGGAAAAGAAGAGACCTTTGCATAGGCAAGTGTATGGCTAAAGGGTGGGCAGTTAGGAATAAGTGATGTGACTGAGAGAATCAGGGGTCACCATGGGCTTCTGCTGAGGCTTGCCCTGTTCAGTCTAGTTATGAATAATTCAGCAGGGAGGTGGGAAATTACTTTGATGTCAGGAATTTTCAGGAAAGGAACAGAGAACGAGGAGAGCACTGTGTGCTCTTGCATAATTCCAAGGCACAGTTCTGTCTACTTGATGTGTGCACGTCTCTGGAAAATAGATAAGCTGGGCTAAAGGTGTGGGATGGATTCTATGGGATGGATTCTATGATGAGTCAAAGGCCAAATCAGAAGGGTTAAAAAAAGCAGTGGATAGTGGTTGTCTCATGATATGCACCTCACCTGACTGTGATTGGTACCAGATGCTGAATTTGGTCACTCCTTGGTCTGATCTGTTGTCTGGTTTTATGGTGAAGTGGTTTCAACTGGAGCCTTGATGTTTGGGGCTGTTTCTGTGTCGTTGCTCCAGGCTGGGAGCTTTTTGTTTTCCCTTGGTGCAGTAATAAAAACCTGTGAGCTCTAACTTTTAGGTACTGGAATATCTGAACGACCTGAAGCAATACTGGAAGAGAGGATATGGCTACGACATCAACAGTCGCTCCAGCTGCATTTTATTCCAGGATATCTTCCAGCACTTGGACAAAGCAGTGGAAGAGAGCAAAAGGTAAATCAAGAGGCTTCAGTGCTTTGGGTGTCAGCTTTCTGTGGTCAATTCTGAGCTGGGTTTCACGTGAAAGGAAGTTCATTACTTTACTTCCAAGCATGGTCACATTCGGAGAGCTGGAGCTAGGAGAATTTTAGCAGCGAGAATGTGATTTTTACTGGAGCAATATTTTAATTATTGATAATTAAAGTAATAATAAGTCATTAAATAATTACTTATTATTTCAAGTCAGTATTACTTACTTGAAGAGTGGGTTTTTTTGCTTTCATTGATGCTTTTGTGCTCAGCTAAAGTATTTCCATCTTTTAACTTCTGATCCACACAGGCCTTCATGGGACAGCCAAATGCTGTCTGATAGTGGTGTTCTCTTCCTGCACTTTGAGAGGACACATTGAGTTAAAACAATGAGCTTTTTTGTTAAAAATGTCCTAGTTAAAAAGAATTTGTTGCTTAAATATTAATTTGCAGCCTGCATGCATGTTCTTACTTAAACTGAACAATTACAAATTCATGGTTAATAATTAGTCATGTGAATTAATACCTTAGATGAGTATGGAAGCTTTATAAAAGTACAGGACATCAAGAATAGGACCATAAGATCATGTAATGGAAGGAGTGATCAATTTTGTTCCTTTTTAGTGTCATTTCCTCTTTGAGCAGTGAGAGCCTTTCAGTCCTTATATTACATAGTTGCAGCTGTGTGTCTCAACTGCATGTAAAACATCCTTGTAAGTTTAATAATAACTATTTTTAAAAACACAAAAACTGTAGCTGGAAGAGAGAGGTACAGATGGAGGTTTCTGATTTATTTGGAGCTGGCTCAGCAGTTGCCAAACCGGGAGTTGGCAAGAGCAGGTGTGTGAGGCAGAGCTCCAAGCACCGTGGTAACTTCGTGTCTTTCAGCACTGGCTGTGGAAGTTCAGTTGCAACACCGGGTGCTCTGGTGTTGTTTTGCCATCACGAGGGGGAGCAGGCAGTGAGTGTAAAGGATCAGAACCCTAAATCTTGCAAAATTACGAGCTGGGTGAGCAGTCTTCAGGATGAGCATCATCCTAAACAGGAACTGGAAAGCCGAGGTAGCCAAGCGCCGCAGGAATGTGTTACTCCCTTCCACAACAGAAGGTGGCAGTCGTAAAGCACTGGAGACCTGGGAATAAATCGGGTTGAGTAACCCTGGAGAGGATGTGGGAATCTACCAGGTCCAGCTTGTCCGTCTTGGAATTTAGGGAGCAGAGCTGCAGCTAATCCCATCTCATCTACAGAGAGACATTTCTCTCTTTTTCATCTATTGAGAGAGACACCCTGTGGCAGTGTGAGAGTAGAATGAAAGCAAGAAAACACACATACAAATACCGAGGTATTTTGCAGTCTCTTTTTTCTTTTTATGGTGATGGTCATCTTCAAGGCAACAGGTTAAATATTTATACAGCATTTTCAGAAAGTGACGTTTTGTGGTGATGAAATGTCTTTCAATAGAATGTTGCTTCAATTTAACGGTGTTTAACATTGACTTATAACTGGCTGATTGCTCTAAAAATTTACGAAAAAGAAATTTACTTCTAGGGCATTGTCTTTACCCCCAAATCTATTTTCTTTTTGGAAAGCTTAGATGGGCTATCCAGAAGGAAAAAGGGAAGCGTTTCTGTTCTGGGAAGAAGCTGAGGGATCTGGATTATCTGTTCTGCTCCAGACTTGGCAGTGGGGAGCAGTGTTGGCAAAGCTGTATTTTTGTAGCATGCTTTATGCATTTATGTTCACTAGCTTTGTTCTGTTTTCATTCCCAGTTATAGTGAAATTAAAAAGAGAGAACCTGTTTCTTCCATGAAGTGATTGTTGCCCTTGCAATCTGCTGACCAAACTTAATTGCCTTATCAAAGCTTGTTTTTATTTCCTTGATGGAAAACCCTTTCTGCTGATTGGTCTGTTCATGAGAATATGATGGTGGTAATAAATATCTGTTGCTAATTAGTCTCACTTTCGGTTTGCAGTGCAGAAGTTTCAGATGTTTTTAGGCTCTTCCAGCATGTGAATTCCAGTACAACTCTGGGGTTTAAACTAGCAATAGTCTCTTGTGTGCACAGCTTGCTCTACAGCAAGATGGTATTAAAAGCCTTGAAAGGGATAGGCTGGGGGCAAGGATTTTTTCTTCTGTACAAATTTTCTTAGTTCGAAAAATATAGTGAAATGTATCACAATAAAACCATTTCTGCTTAGGAAATAGACTGGTGAAAGTTGCTCTTGTTCCATATCAAGCCCATGTGATTTGCTATACTGAAATGGCATAGTTGGGCAGTTGTCTCATGTCTTCACAATTATAAGGTCTTACTATATTTTCCCAAGTCTGCCTGCTAGGGATAGAAAATAGCCAGAGAAGCTGGTGAAGAATTACTTTTCACTGCTGGTTTTTCTAGCAATATAATGAACAGTATTTTGCCCACAAGAACTTTGCGTGTTGGTAAAAAATTCAGGTATTTTGGTACTTATTGCAATATGAAGCTGCTCATGTGATTTTTTTTTTTTTTTTCAAAATCTTTGCAGCTGCATGCTTGGGCAGAGATGGACTTGCAAATCAGTTGTGGCACATTTTAAAAGCATATCAGCTATTCAATAAAGTAGTTTCAGACTTCCTTTTTTTTCCTTCTAGCTTCAAATACTTAACATTAATATTTCTTGCTGGTGAAAGAATATGAAATACCTGATATTGCTTATACTGTCCAAGTGGGTTACCATAAGGCTCTGGAAATTGGGAGGATGCTTTGTGCAGCCATCTCAGTATTGACAGTGTGTATTGATAATACCAGACTAGCTGCACATAGGCATTGTAAAATGTTTGGTGGTTTCCTCTGAGAGAGTAAATGGGTTCAAGGTATTAAAAAAAACCCGACTTATTTCAATATGATTCAAGATCAGTTGAGGGTGATCTTTGTGAGATATACCACAAAGCTGTACGGTAAAGAGACCAATTTGGCAATTTATTGGTGGCTTTTACTGTTGCATGTAATTTGCCTTCCTCTTTGCTGGTCACTTCCCAACACAATTGTTAACCTTTCAGGAGTCATTTACTGCTGTGCCTTAATTGTTCCTTCCAAACCTATGACTCAGTACAAAGGAGTATAATGGGTGATCTAAAACCACTTCACAGTTCAAAACTCTACAGGAGGAACTGAGAAAAAAAGCTTCTGTGTATGCAGTAGCAATAAAATAATTAGATTGAAAATCCCCTTTTGCTCGAGTTCAAAACGTTCAGTTATGTTTTTTATTAAAACCCCTTCCCTGCTGCTGGGATGACTTTGATTAATAACAGTCGATGTCTCAGTCAGCAGCTCTGTGTATGGTGGTATGTAGTGAGTGTATGGTTGGATTTGATTGCTCCGTCTTTCAAAGGTGGGGCTTCTGACATGACTGAAGGGAGCTTTTGGGGAAGGCAGAGATGTGAAATTTCCCACAGATCCTTGTGGCACATTCAGCAGCATCCCTGTGTCTGCATTTCTGAAGTGTGTGTGTTTGCTGACTTCTCTCTGAGAGCTGGGCAGCCCACGGTCTCCCCCCTGGGAATGTGTCTGTTCATCTCTCTGCCCAGAGCTAGAGATTTAAAGTTTCTTGGGCCTTTCAGACTCCCCAGCATGTCCTCAATCTCACCTTAACTAGTTAATATATGCTTGCTCAGGATTGACCTGGAAAAGTAAGAGTGTCTGAGCAACTTTGACAGAGTCATACCCTTTTATGTAAGAGTGAAAAACCCAAACAGGACCTCGGCAAGTGACAGACAAATGAACCGGTCTGACCAGTGTGCACCTTGGGCAGAAAGGGTTTGACAAGTGCCATCAGCCTCTTGGTTTGGTTTTGGCTCATGATGGATCGGCATTGAGCATTGTTGTGCTGCTGCTGCAGTAATGCATTTCACCTCTGAGGTTTGAAACAATGGGAGAAGTGAGATCAGCTGGGAAAGAGCCTTTGAAAGTGCAGCAGCTCTGCAGTGAAACACAAGGAGGCCTAGGCTAATTAGCTCCAAGTGATTAAGTGTTGCAGGACTAGATAAGAGCCTTTTAATTAGAGGTTTTAATGAGTTTTATATAGTCCAGTCAGCTTTTCAATTTGCTTTTGTCATGAGTGAGCTTGTTCCTTCTTGCAACAGAAGAAAAATCTTCTCTTGTCAGTATTAGTGGTGGCATTTTGTTGAGTTGGTGCTGATTCTGGGAATGATTGGCTGTCTTCTATTTATGGTTTAAGTTTTGACATATGAGGACTTAATACTATTTGACTGATATTTTTTAAACCTTTTTTTATTCTTCTTCCCACTGGTGAAAACCCTCTGAGCTTTAACACTATTAAATATTTCTGCTGCCCCCGAGTGCCACTGCTGCATTCCCTGATCTCTGCTGTTTCCTGCCATGTTTAGGGTTTGTCCAGCCTTTGTTTGGTTTTTCCTGAAATAAATCACAGGGGGAGCTGAGAAGGATGAAGAATCCATCCCATAGTTGAAAGCAGGTTTTGGAGTCCTTTGACTGGCTTTTTTATTAAGAAGAAAAGGGACAGAATGTAGTCTAAGCTTGCTTGTTAAACAGCGTTAAAACTTACCTTCTGTGCAGTTGTTGGAGGGATTTTTACATGAGGTTTGAAGGTTGGCCAGATGAGCTTTGCTGCAGGAAATGTTTTGTCTTATCCCACTATTTCCTGGGATTTGAGTTATTTCTAACTGAAAGTCTCCAGTCAGTGCTGAGGAAACAAACTGCAGTTTAAAGAAAGTTAAAAAGGAAGTTAAACCCCAGTTAAAAGAAGTTCATTTTCCATATGGAAAAAGTGAACATCAGTAGTCCTGGGAACAGTAGGAATGATCTGCTCTTGAGGATGGGTGAGCTGATGCAGAAGATTCAGTTACACCCAAATCTGCTGTGATCCAGGAGAATTAGAATTTGCCTGAATGATAAATCCCACATCTGTGCTTCTCTGTGATGCTTTTTCCCCCATGGTGAAACTTAGCTTTTGGGGTTGTTCAGCACTTTCTTCATTTTCATCTGTGGTCCGATTTACTTAAGAAGTAAAAAACCTGTAAAACACCAATGTGGGCAGTTCAAGAGCTGGCACATCTCTCTAATGAAACCTGCTTGTGTTCTGGCTTCTGCTCATTTGGAAGTGCCCCATGAAATTAATATGTAACCAATCACTTTCAAACAGGCTCCTAATATTTTATGGCAGAGTTTTATGCACAGTCCCTTCATCTCCCTTCAAAGGTGGGAATGAGATTTCCTCAGTGGGCTTTCCCAAGCCATGTACTAGTAAATAAAAGGGAGGGAAAAGTGGATGGAAATGCCATTAGTAATTGCCAGGGGATGATGTTGAGAACTTTGCTTCCAACAAGATGCTGAGTCACTGATTGTGAGGCAAATTGAGTGTGGAAACATCTGGCCTGTCATTTAATATTTTATCGGCCTGTGCTACTGTTTATCAATGTTTTCTTAGTTGTTCTGCCTTTATCAGAAATGCAGAGGCTGCTGTAACCTTTGCCTGTGTGTATTCATTCTCTGAAGAGGTAATCTGTTGTCATTATCCCCACAATTAGAAATATTGCTGTTTAACCTCGATGGCCATTTTGATTGTCATTGCTGAATGATAGGAAACCTCATCTGAGCTGGAGTCCTGACCCTGGTGACTGAGCAGGGAGTGCTGGAGCAGTGTGGGAAATCACCAGTACTGGTGGCAGACCAGGCATGCTGTGCTAAAGAGGCTGTGGAGAACTCAGGGCTGTGTCACATCAGGAAACAGTTTTAATCCTCATTTAACTAATCTAGTGGGATAGCTCTGAGTGGGAGAGGTTTGTTTGGCCTCTTGGCATGATGATTTCATGAAGGTGAAGGAAAAACTCAAGCTACACTGAGTGAGCACCTTGTTTAGTCCTTATTTTCCCACTTCTTCCCTTTTTCTTAAAAACTTGTCTGTGCTATAATTTGTTTGCCTTGCTGATAAAATTTTTTTTGCTCTATTTTTTTGTGATTTACTTCCATTTCAACACTTCTGCTTAGTGTCAGCTGGAAAGTAAAGCCAAACTTTGCTTAAAGCCAGCATTGATTGCCAGAATGTTAATGTTTTTTTTGTTTGTTTTAGCATTTCTGAAGCCTTTTTTTGAGTGGTGAGATGTGAAATCCATTCCCTGTGGAGTCAATAATGCCTGTGTAAGGTTGTTTTGGAGATTCTAGCAGCATATTTGCATTCCCAGCTTCCCTCTTAGTTAACAAAAAAAAAGACCACCATGCAGCTGGGTCTACATAAAAATACAAAAAATTAAATAAGGAAAAAAATTTTAAAAGCAGCTCCAGAGGAGAATCAGAATTCCAGGCCAGTCTTGTAGAAATAATGCTCCAGACTAGTACTGCTGAGCACCTTGATGAATCTGATACACCTGGGGAGTGTTAGGATAGCTCTTTAAAAGGAAAATATTCCTCTTGGAGCTCTTGGGAGGGATCAACAAATATAAAGTTAGCAGAAGTCATCTGGTAGCCACAGTCATGACTTCTAAACATCTTTATGATCAGATTTCCTTATCTAAAGAAATCCAGCAGATGGGGTTAAGGGGAAAGGTCCTTATACGCAGAAAAAATTGATTAAAATTACAAGAAATGGAGGGTAGGGACAGCTGATTTTTTTTTTTTTCCTAGCAGAGATAGAGCTGGAAAGGTCTGACCTGCTTGCAATGTTGTAAACGACCTCGGAAAAAGAGGTGACAAGTTCAGTGGCATTGCAAATGTGGCAGTTTCTTTCAAGATAAATAAAATGAAGTGCTTCTGCTAGGAAGATTGTGAAAGGACCCGGTGAGATTGACTGGGCTGGAAAACTGCAGAGCTGTCAAGTAATCCACATGGGGGGAAATTATCTTCTTATCACCTGTTGGATAGAATGTGGGAGAACCTATTGCTTGGGGCTGAATTGTGAGCTTGTTGTAGCTGTCTGAGATATCTCAAACTTCAGGTGAGTGGGTTTGGAGCAGACTGGTCTATGGAAGGTGTCCCTGACAGGGACAGGGAATTGGAATGAGCTGGTCCCTTCCAATCCAAACTGTTCCATGATTCCATGTTGGATGACAGAATGAAGCACAGAGCTCATTATTTTCAGCATTAATTTCTGTGTAGCTTATGGTTCTTGAGTATTGTATATTCTTATCTAAAGGGATATAGCTCATGTGGAAAATTATGGCAGGACTAAGGTAGGATTTCTCAACTTGGAAAGAGCACTACTGCAAAGCTATGAGTAGAACAGATTAAATGGGACATGGCATCCACAAATAGAAAAAAACAAGCAGTGTGTGAAGCTGTGCAACTCCTTGCCACAGGCCATTGTGTGTGCTAGAAATGCATGTGGATTGAAGGAGAGATTTGGCAAAGGAGTGATTCATCACCTAGAAGCCACCTCTGGCCCTGGAGATTTCTGAGCTGGAAATTGCACGATGAAAGGAATGGTCTTCTGTTTCCTTCCATAGACATCTGTGTCTTGCTACTGTGACAGAGGGATGTGAATGTCTCCTAAAACCTGAAAATACTTCCCTGCAGGTGTGTGTGGACAGGAAGGATACGTGTGAACTGGTCAAGTGGACAAGAGAGGGAAGGGAAGAGAAAGGGATTCAAGGTTCCAAAAGCTTTTCAATTTTAGAATGAGTGAAGGGGTCCATAAATAGCAAGGGGAGAACATGGGCAGGAACAATGATTTTGGAGGAGCTGGAAGAGTGTGGTGAATGTAAAGATCTTGGTGCAACAGAGGCATAGGTGGGGAAAAAATACAGTGTTCTCCACAGAGAACCTTTACATGGTTTGAAGGCTGCTTCTTTTGGACAGAAAACAGAGGCAGGATTTGGATATGTTTTTTAAGGGATGTTTTGTCTAAGGGGAGAGTCTGAGGAGTGGAATCAGAGGGGCTCAGCCTCACCAGGAGCATTGTACAAAGTGTGTGTCAGACTGCACAAACACCATGGCTGCACTGAGCTGGTAGGGCCCATCCTGGCCCAGCACTAAATTTCTGCTGAGCTGATCAAAGTTCCAATCCACAGGCAAGTCTCCCAGTTAACCATCTTTCCATTGCTTTGGGTTGGAGCAGAGGAAACACCTCCTTTTCAGACCAATCAAGATGTGTCTCCTGAAAGCTAAACCTATATTTACCTGTGCTAGATCATGTGACGTGGGCCACTTGGAAATAGTCCCCAAAAGCCATCATCCTTGTCTGGAGCAAGGGTCAGATTTTCCTCTTGGCTGGTGCTTCCTGGCACAGCAAGCCAGCTCTTATCTCCCCTTTGGCTGAGCAGTGTGTAACCTTTTGTTACATAAACTGTCCTCAGTCATGGTGCAAGTCAGTAGCTTGATTTGCTGCCCTGTTCCTGAGGGAGCATCATCTCCTGGACTGCTTGGTGTCCTCAGGAATTGGTAAGAGCAGTATTCCTGCTGGCCATTTGAGCTGCTGTTTAGCAGGGGAGGGATGGTTGTTGTCTTGCATCACTGGATCTCTGTCTTCAGACTAAGTTTGGTAAATGCTGCTGATGCTTTGAAGGAGACTCGCATCCAGTGAAGGGCTTGACTGTGTATGTGAGCCCCTTCCCCAGCTCGGTTCCCTTCCCTGGACACGCTCCAGCCCCTCCAGGGCTCTCTGGCCAGGAGGGCCCAGAACTGGACACAGCCCTCGAGGTCCCTCAGCAGGGCCAGCCCAGGGGACGGGCCCTGCCCTGGGTCTGTGGCCACCCCACGGCTGGCACAGCCCAGGGGCCATTGGCCTTGTGCCCCCTTGTGCCCCCTGGGCTCCTGTCCAGCCACTGGCACAGCACCCCCAGGGCCTTTCCTGCCCTTTCCAGCCCCTCTGTCCCAGCCTGGAGCTGCAGGGCTTGGGGTGACCCCAGGGCAGGACCTGGCACTTGGCCTTGCTGAGCCTCACTGCGTTGGCCTTGGATAAATACTTCGACAAAGATGAGGAAGCTACATTTAAAATGTCTGTAACAGACTGGAATTCCCAAACAGGTTTTTCTCAGGAGTAACACAGGTTCAAGGTATCCTTCAGCCACGGTCACTGGCAGCTGTGCATTGTGTTGGTGTTTTGTTTTAAAGAATGGGCTCTTGCTCATCCCTTCCACTTCTTTTCTTTTGTAGCTCCAAACCCATTTCTTCTCCTTTGATTGTCCAAGTTGGGCACGCAGAGACCCTCCAGCCCCTGCTTGCCCTGATGGGTTACTTCAAAGATGACGAGCCTCTCCTGGCCAGCAACTACGCCCGGCACGCGGAGCGGAAATTCCGCAGTGGCCGCATCGTGCCTTACGCAGCCAACCTGGTGTTCGTGCTCTACCACTGCGACCATGTGAACGCCTCCCAGGAGGAGTACCAGGTGCAGCTGCTGCTCAACGAGAAACTGCTGTCCTTCCATCACTCCAACGAGACCACCTCCACCTACATGGACCTCAAGCACTACTACAAGGACCTCCTGGAGAACTGCCACTTCAAAGAGGAGTGCGAATTGCCCAAAGTCAATGTCACTGCTGTGGATGAGCTGTGAGGGAATGAAACGGTCAAACTGGTCTGGGTTCAGTTCCACAGGCATTGGGAACAAGCACTTTGGATGATTTGCTGCTGCTGTGTAGACTTTCTAACCTTGCAGATTTGGGGGGGTTGTCTCAGCTCAGTGCACTGGTTCTCTGTTGCGTAAGCAGAGCTGCATAAACAACTGCTGTAATGGGGAAGTTGTAACAAATGTGTGATGCAAGACAAATACCTGTGTTTATGTGTGCAAATAAGCTGATTTCATTGGTCACTGCTGTTATGAACAGGCCATAGACAGATTTAAGAGCTGGGGCAGCTTCTATTTTATAAGATGTGAAGGTAGTTGGACTGATTCAGTGTTGCTTTGTGCTGCCTATGTTTCTAGCTGCTGTTCTTCCTGTGCCACGCATGAAATATTTCGAACTTTTTTTTTGATCCTTTTCCCAAGCTTCTAGAAGGGAGAGGGTACATAGTTCTTCTCCACAGCTGCACAACTTCTGCCTGGACAGCACCATTTCTATTTTGGGCATTTTAAATCGGGAGTTCCTGCATGCATCACCTGCTTGAAAAGGGGCAAGGAATTAAAAGTCTTAAGGTCATCCTTGACCCATCCTGCATAGCGAGATAGTCTCCAGGGTAAGTAAATTATCCTTAAAAAGAAGTAGGAAAAAAAAAGTGAGGGAGTGGAAATTAGCCACTCTTCCTTTAAAGTGCTCTGGGACATGCAGCAGTTTTTCTCTAAATACTCTGGAGTGTCCTTTCACTAACACCATTCATTTCTGGTGTTATTTGGGCCAGGGCATTCAGGTTAGGCTGTGCCATGGCTCTGAGTCCCTTGGTCCTGGCCAGGTGCTGACAGTTTTCCTACCAGGTCTGGCTGGAAAGCACCTCTGATGTCTCCAGCCTCCTGTTTGAAATGGCATTTGTTGCTAACTCTAAATCCAGGTTTTTGAACTGTGTAAAGATTGGGCTGAGGATTGACTTCTGCTAACTTTAAGGCATAAAACAAGCTGCCACTTACGTAGGCCTTACACATTTGATGTGCCACCTTGCTTTTGAAATGCAGCTGGTTTTAAAGAGGTGAATGGCATAGAAGAACTGGTAATATGTTAAAGCAACTGCACTTTAAGTAGGTTCCCTTATGCCTGAAGGCTGGGAAGTATTTTAGAGCTCTGCAGTGTGACAGTAAAAGGAAAACTGAAGATAAGTGATGAGAAATGTCTGAATCAAGTCAAAGATTCCTTCATCACCTGCAAGGCAATGACTGTTTGACCAAGTTGCCCCAAAGCAAATTAAGGTATGGATTTATGGTGCTGGTAGCTCTTGAAGTGTGCACTTTCACCATCTAATGAGCATTCAGAGCTCACCCTGTCAAGTGGGGTTTGTGTTGCTGTGTTTCCTGGGAGGAAGACTGGGAGTAAGTGATTGCTGCAGCACAGCCTGCAGCAGTTCAGGGTATAAATGTCTATAGTGAACCTGCTAAGTCCTTTCTGTAGGCTCACCCCACGGACTGGGGACTTAGCTGCTGCAAAAACAGATGCAGAAAAAAGAAAGCTAAACTCCAAGTTGACAAGTTACACTTGGTGTATGTTTTTATAAAAATTTTTTCTTGAGGACTCAGCCTTTTGTCACTTTTTTCTTAATATACCTTATATAAAAGCAGTTCATGTTTACATACCTGTAAGTTAAGGAGCAATTGAACACCTGGGTTTTGCTTTTGTTCTCTGAGTTAAGGGCATTTCCCTGCCTGTGGTTGAAGGGCCCTGTTTGATTAGTGCACCACTTGCTGCAGAGACCAAGAGATCACTGAAGATACTGGTTCAAATATTGCAGCACGTGCCTGTGTTAAATCCACAGCTCTTTTTGAAGCTGGGGAAATGGCTAGGGAGGAGTACAGTGCTGCAACAAGCAGAGGAATATAGGTCAGGATAATTGTCAGCCCTTGCATATGAGTACTGCTCAATCACCTTTGCATGTCTCCTTTTTCACATGATCCTACCTTGGGACTAAGTCAACTGATGGAAGTGGTTGTGACAGATCCCAGTTAGGAACTTTGTTGCAACATTTGAGTCAGGCTACAAAGAAATAAGCCTTTGTTTAATGGCAGTTAAGTTTGGAAAGAGCAGATAGGAGAGTGAGAAAATCCGCCTTTGAACAAATATTTTCTGTGAGTCAGTGATGATTCATGAACAAAAGACATGAAAGCCTGACTATGGGAGATGAATGGAGGATTCTGTTGTCAGTTCAGCAAGACTGCTTTTAAGACATCACATTTGTTAAAAGATACATCCTTCTTCCTTATGGAGGGAGGAATCCATTGCACTTGACTGCTTTTTTTGATTGTGTGCCAGATGAGGTGCAGGAACCAAAAAACTCCTATTATGGAGTATCCTTTGTGCATTAGCAGGTTCATTGTGTGTTTAAATTCTGTGGGTGATGCCTCAGAGGCTGTTCCCTGTTTCACCTTGGAGCCCAGGTCCATCGTACCTCCACAAGTATCTCTTTAGTGGCTGCCAGCAATTAAGTGGAGAGGAAAATGTGCTGTCGGTGCTCTGTGTTTTGAGGATGCTCTTGACTCACTCCTCTGGCAAAATTAGAGGCTTAGTGTTGAAACTTTGCACCATTGTGGCACTGTAGAAGTGTTGGGAAATGTAAATACTCCAGGCACTTATTCTGGTTCTTAGCACTGGGAAGGTGACTTCACTCTGATCCTTTTGACTAATAAAGACATTTGTTTAGATACTTTAAAAAAATCTAAAATGGATCAAAATGCTTCTCCAGAGTTGGGCACTAGCTCAGTATGCAGTGTTTGATCAGGCTGCCACATCTCCTAACTCTGCACATTCCCACATCCTGCAAAAGTCCTGCAAGATAAATAATGCTTTCTGGTCCTTCCTGTGCCTTGGGAGGCCTCATCTGAGACCTCTGTCAAGGACTCTTTGCAACCTTTCTGAAACTGGAAGCTTTCACTGATGGAAATACCAACAGTGTTCTTGTATGCTGGCCTCCAATATGTGTGATGTACGTTTAAATTTGTTAAATGTTTAATCTTTCTGGCAAGTAAATTTTTTTCTGTCTGCTAAGATTTGCTGTTCTGGTTAGTGTGGAGCTGCCAAATGGAGGTTTGTAATGATCTGGTAGTAACTGGATGAATTTGGAGAACTTGTGGATTTTAAGTGCTGTGAAATAAAACTGCACACTTTCTTTGTCTGTTTTCTGAGCAGCAATAATGACATGATCTTTGGAATCATGGTTGTGTTTTCCTTCAAAATACAGCTGGGAGGTTGCTGTTACATGTGTTGGTGTCTCTGGTTATTTTAAGTCATCAAATTTCTTGGTGGTTAATAGAAAATGCCTTAATTAGGTTTTTATGCTTACATTTTGAAGGGACTAGAGATTTACTCTTGTTTCTAAGAGCTCTGGTATAAAAAGCAGCAACAGTTTCCTGACAAGGTTTTTGCAGATGCAAAAAGGGTGTGGTGGCTGGGATGGCATCATCTTTGATTAAGGGCTGTTTCTGCATTTTCTGTGATCTGTTAGTCTACAATAGGGGATGTTTTATTTACAACAGGGAAAAGCCCCCCAGACTGTGCAATCGAAGGCAAAGGAGTGAAATGCTTCCCAAATTAAGACACCACATAGAACCTTTGGGGAAGGAACACGATCACCACCATCCATCTTCCCCTCTCCCTGTTTTTTGTGTCTATAATACATTAAAGAGTTGTTGTCTAACCTTTCAAAAGGAAGGCAGTGTATTATCAGGTGCTGCTGAGGCAGGAATAATGGCTTATCTTTAAAGTGTTAAATTCTTGCTTTCCTGGGCTTTCAGTTATAGATTTTCTCCTGGCCTGGAGTGAAGGTCAGGACTGAGGAGGTTCAGGTTAACAGCATGTGGGGTTTATGGTGCTGGAGTCATTTATTTATTTATTTAATAGTTCCTTAGTGTTTAAAGGGACCATTGTTTTTCTGACATTCTGCTGAAAGGTTAGAGCACACCTGTGTCCTGTGTTAACAGAAACAAACCTCTTGACTTCAGGGAAGGGATTATTGTGGAAGGAGTGGTATGGAGGGAGCAAGGTGGATTTTGTATTGTTTATTTAGAGGTCAGAAAAGCTCTGCAGGCTTGTCCACATTAGTGACCTGTAGCTCTCAAATGCTTCCCTGGCAACAGAAGGTGCCCAGGTAATCCTGGAAACCACCTCAGAAAGAGGATCTGGGTGGGATCAGACTCAAGGTCCTTCAGCCTGGTGCCCTCTGACTTTTGGTGGGATGTGGTGCCTTGAGCATAAGGACAGGGCAAACATTCCCCATCCACTCTTGATTGTTGCTACAGGGTTTTTTTGAGCTAAGAGCAGTCGATTTGTGTTTAGCTTTATATATTTCAAGGAATTTCTGTTCTACATGGCTCTCCTAACCCGAAGGCAGGGTTCTGCCCCTGTGCTCAGGTGAGACCCCACCTGCAGAGCTGGCCCAGCACAGGAGGGACCTGAGCTGCTGGAGAGACTCCAGAGGAGGCACCAGGATGATCAGAGGGATGGAGCAGCTCTGCTGGAAGGAAAGGCTGGGAGAGCTGGGATTGTTCAGCCTGGAGAGGAGAAGCTTCGGGGTGACCAAACTGTAGCCTTCCAGTACCTGGAAGAGCTGAGAAGAGAGATGCAGAGAGATTTTTTTGGGCCAGGGTCTGGAGTACCAGGACACAGGAAATGACTTTGCAGTGCCAGAGGGCAGGGTCACATGGGATATTGGGATGGAATTGTTCCCTGGGAGGGTGGGCAGGCCCTGGCACAGGGTGCCCAGAGAAGCTGTGGCTGCCCCTGGAAGTGTCTAAGGCCACTGGATGGGGCTTGGAGCAGCGTGGGATAGTGGAAGGTGTCCCAGACATGGTAGGGGGTGGGGTTGAATGGGCTTTAGGGTCCCTTCCAACCCAAACTTTTCTGTGATTCCCTGACTTGCTTTGCAGTGGGATGTGGTGGAGCTTTGGGAACGTCCAGCTCCTCTCATTTGAGTCTCCTGCTAGACTGGAATTTCAGCCACGTTTCCAGGAGCTGTGATTTGAAAACAGTGAGAGCTTCCAACATTCTCAGTTAGCAGAGTTAGTTACCGTATGCAAATGATGAGGCTTGGCGTGTTTTGGAGCAGTTCTTGTTTGGATACAGATCTTGTTTCAGTGTTGCTTTCCTCTATGCCAGCAATTCATCCCATTCCTTGGAGCACTTTTATTGGAAAAGGAGGTAAACACTTGACCTCTTTGCATCCTACTTGTGCTGCTTGTGACTTTGATTTTCTTTTCCCCACATGGGAGGGGCTCGTCTTGCTTCTTTATTCCTTGTGCTGAAGTTATTCTGTTCTTCTCGTTCCCCCATAAAATAGCATCCCAAAGATGTCCTCGTGTATGATGTGTTGCTCCTTCTTGCTATTAATGATATTTGGTGCTCTCTGAAGATTTTGGTTGCCTAAAAATAGTTCTGAAGATTGAATCAACTTTGTAATATTTATAAACGTGCAATATCCTGTATTTTTAAATTATGGCAGTTTGAAATTAATAATTGGTTTGTTAGAATAAATATACGAGGGATGAGGTAGAGGGAGTATTTTCAGACAACCAGATAGTTCTGTCCAAAGCACAGACAGGTGGCTTTTGATCCTCTGGGATTACACCTTTGTACTGGATCAGTCAGGACGTAGTTGGCTTTCTGGGCTGCCAGGTGATGTCCAGCCTCTCTTTCACCTATCAATTTAAATAACCCAACCCCCTAAGCTCTAGTTCCTGGTTTATGTGCCAGAAGGGAGATTTGAAGTCCTTAGGGGTTTGATTTTCATCCTGTAATGTTATGCTCGCCCTTTGTCTCCCTGTTCTGTGTCCTGACATAGTCATTGGCCTGCCGATCCCTCTGGAGATGCCACTTGTATCTCATTTCAGTCTTTGCTTTGCCAGATCTGATAAGTTGGTCCCTCCTCATCTCTCCTCCTCACCTAACTCATTTCACGTGGGTACTGGCTTGTTTCACTTCAGTTCTTTTGAACTTTAATGAGTGCCATTGTACCTGGTTTTCCAGATGCAGTCTAACAAACAGCTTGCTGCTGGCAGGGAGACCTCCCCACGTCTTTTCTTGGGAAGGTTAATCATTAGGCTGATGCCAGTGAGTTTTTAATATTTATTTGGTTGGTAAGGGCTGTTTTCTGTGGCCCTGTGGAAGTTTTGTGCTCTGGTTCCCATCTTCTGCTACAAAACTTTCTCTACCAGGTGCCACAGGTCATTTCTAGCTCATAGATTTGTGTAGAACAAATTTCATGTTTTGCAATGTAAAGAGTGTTCTAACTACATCTTACGTTTCTCAATTTGCCTGCATGCCTGATGCTTTTATAATCCAGGACCTGCTTCCCCAGGGAAGGCTGGGTGCTCCCAGCCCTCTCAAGCATGAAGCACATGCAAAGTCCTGCTGGGTCTTGGCTTTGCAGGAAAGCCTTTGGGGTTCAGATTTCATCTCCCATAACCCAGAATTATCAGGCTGTTCTTCAGCCCTCGTGGGTGTTGGTGTGGCACAGAACAGCACATCTTTCCTCTGCAGGGAATGCAGGCTCTGCCCTGAACTCACCAGTGAGGATAGTTTGGTTTGCAGGGGTTGATTATCCCTGGGGATAATCAGGAGGTTTCCCCTTTGCCTTTCTTCTCCTGGGTTCGAGGTCAGGTGAGATGGATCCTCCAGTGTTCCTATGGAGCAGATCTCCCTTGTCTCCATCTGCATCCTTTCCAGGCAGAATTGGGAGCAAATCCCACTTTCAGCATGCCATGGCCTGACTGTCCTGTGCCACTGTGCTCCATGTCCCTGCTCAGGCAGGAAAGGGATCTTAAAGTTGAAAGGGAACTCAAAGGGGTTCTTGATAGGTTCAGGTTCTTTTTTTTTTTTTCCAAGAATTGCTGCGTGTATTGATCAACCCAGCTTTGGACATGGGGCTGGAGTTGGATGTCAAAGCCAAATCCTGGGGCGTGCTTGGAGCTTCCAGCTGGATGAGGCAAGACAAGGAGCAGCAGAGGCTCATGTGACCTACTTCATCTCTCACACACAGCCTGCAGAGCAGAGACCTGAGCTGGAGGAGACAGCTCTGCTTGTAAATGAGGAATTGTTTCCATCCTGTGCAGCAATGGAGAGCTTTCAGGAGTTTTGAACTCCGTCATGGTTATTGGGCCACTTTCCCCAGAGAAGCTGTGGTTACCCCTGGATCTCTGGAAGTGTCCAAAGCCACGTTGGACGGGGCTTGGAGCAGCCTGGGATATTGGAAGGTGTCCCTGCCCATGGCAGGGAGTTGCATTGAATGGGCTTTGAGGTCCCTCCCAAGCTAGACCATTCCATGAAAATCAGTGTTTGAATAAAGCACCCAACACCTGTCACAAACTCTAAATGTCACCCTGATTTTTCTTAAAGCTTACCACCTCTACCTAAGAATGGCTTTTCTGTGAGAGTGGTAAAAAGGCTTCTCTGGATTATTCTGAAAATAGCAAAATTAAGATTGAATTTACCAAACCAGAAGCAGCTTCCCTTCATGTGGTTTCCTGTGAGAACAGTTGCTTTTCATAGTTGGTGGGAGCACACCTCTGTCATGGTCGACAGCTTGTCTGAAAGTCTGTGTGACAAATCCCACTAGGGAATGGCACAGGGGGAAAAGTGCTGCACTTCAGTAGTGTATTGCAGATCCTTAATCTGTTTCTGCCCGGGAGTGCAAACAGATGGGGACCATGGAGTTTTCCCTGTACTGGCTGGAAAAGTGCTTGGTGCTCCTGTGCACAGGTGTCTGGAGATGGAGGGAGTGACAGGTAGGAGCTGCTGTCACAGCTGGCTGCTTTGTAAAAGGATTAGGATGTAATTAGACTTCAAAATGTGATAGGTGCTGACTTCCCTACCTGTCTGTGCTTGTCTACCTCTAACACTGCCTGGCCTTGGAGAGGCTGGATTTCAAATTGCCTCCTTTAAAATTGGATTTTAGTTTTAAATTTAAGTGATTCTGCTTCAATCACTACTGTCCTGGCGGCAGTTTTAGCCAGCCTGGTGTCTTTGTAGATATCTTTGGCCTTTTTTTCTGCCAGCCTGCTTTTGGAAGAAGACATACTCATGCATATTTCCTGAGTTCTCAGATTACTGTAGGGAAAGTGAATCTGAAAAAATTCCAGGAGCTGAGATCTTTATTCTGGTATTGTAAAAGAAGCAAGATAGG